GATTTAGAACAGGAGATTCGAATGATCCCCTGTCTGAAGATTGACCACCAGAGATATCTCGACGCTAAATTATTTTATTCTTTTTTTTTTTTTTTTTTTTTTGAGAGGACAAATGGAGCATTATTCCCGTCGCGCTTAACTTTACCGTTCTCGCAGTTACTATAAGCAGTGGCCAATTAGTCCGTTCTCTCCGTAGGGATATCGCTAGCCGCTTTGCTCTTACAAATACAAGCGCTACCCACACCACCATCATCATCGGAGTCGTTCTATTAGTATGCATAACCGATCTTTTTTTTTTCTTTTGCGCGTATCTTACTTCGGACCCTCGCGTGGCCCGAATAACGAGAAACAGGGGAATGATTCGAATCTTTGAGAAGCTCCCCATTGGAAAATTTTATTAAAAGATCTAACCCAAAGATGAAACATTAAGTACAATTAAATATTAAAGAAATTCAATTTAGTTTCGAATGTAGACTCCAATTTCAATTACTAAAAAATTCACTCTGTCGAAGACGGTAGCCCCGATCGGGGGTAACATGTATAGGAGCAATTCAAATATATCATTATCTGAAATACTTCTTTTACGACGACGATTGGTAACGCTATCGGTTTTCAAACATAACGATTGCTTTAACGCCGCTCGCTTAATGAATAATTTGCGTAATATGCGGCGGGATGTTGCGAGATTCTATGTATACCGCGGAGTGTATCGATCATACGTCGCAATTATCCGATATCCAACGCACGCGCGCCGAAGCGAGAGATCTTGGTTTCCTATACTTGTCGTAAAATATAGATCAAGTGCCTCTTCACATTAAAGACAAGACAAATCGACGTAACGTTAACCTGCAACATTTACCGCATTCTGGGAAAATCTTTGCGATTCATCGCCGGCGCGTACCTTTTAATGCCATAGATATTTATACGTTATTTATGTGGCCGGATATACTAAATAACCGAATGACTCTACGGGTCTATATAACGTGGAATGGAAAAGGTCAAAGGATACCCCGAGATAACGGAACGCGTCTCTGTCCTTGAAAAGACCGAAGCCGTTCTAGTTGCAACGACGGCGCCGCGGCTGCTTTCTAAAGTTTTAAAGCGTGAGCCTGTATCTAACCCTGCAAATTACCATAATCGGGTTTGCAGCATCGATTATGCGAATTGTGGCCGAAGCTTCGTTCACGCTATGTTCGAATTCGTGCTTGCAGGTACGCGTCCCACTGAATTTAAACTAGATTCGTGCTAAATTAAGAATTTACAACGGCAAAGTAAACCGCGCGCGCATGAGGTACGAAATGCGAAAAAAAAATATCGATTTACGCTCGCGTAATATTTCGCGAACGGGATATATTCTAGCGGATTTCATCGGGCGAGATAAGTGATTGGGATAAAACCGTGAAATCCGGCGGAATTCAAATGTGGAAAAGAGAGTCGGACAGGTTCAAGGTTCACTGTATATGTCGAGAAAGTATATATAACCTTTGGACATTTGACCTCCGCTCCTGGGGGTATATAGCGGAAATGTGTCGATGAAGGGCACTCGATGATGAAATCGGAAACTATGTCAAGTGTCTTTGACGAGAGAGAGAGAGAGAGAGAGAGAGAAAGCGCTGCGAGAGCATATAGTACTGCAGATTCTAGAAATTGTCTTGAGCTTAAGAAGGTCTCCCGTTAGCTTCCAAAATCAGTTAAGGCAATCGAATCTTTTCTGAAGGACTTCCCAACCCTTTGCCTCATTTGGCTTTGCGCAAGAGACACACGGAGAATCGCGCTTGATTCTATAGTTATGTACGCTTACGAAGCTTAGCGTTGCGACGCCAGATAACGTTTATCTATAATAGGAACGGGCATACCTTTGCTGACAAATGGCGCGTTATCTCGGCAACGCTGCCTTTTCATTGGTCCGCAGAATAATTCGACCCTTCGATAAGAGAAAGTAAGTTTGGCCGCGCGAATCTCGATTACGCGTGCCGTTATTTAAACCCCCGGCCGTTTCCGTCAAACTTATTCCACACAGGCTTATCTGGCGACGTTCAATTTCGAACGTAATCCGCGCGTAATCGCTAACCCTTTGGCGATCCCAAATCGTCCTCGGTAACACGAATACGTCTTGTCACGTGTGCAGATGCTATTTTTACTTTAATTTCAGAGTCGAATTACATATCCGACTGCGGGATTGTATTAGGTATCCGAGATGGAATATTATTTTCCGTGCAGGAATGGAATGCCGTTTTTCATGTTCATACACCTTCGTGTGGTCGATGAGAAAAATGTTTTCGCTCCGTTTAGCCGATTTGTCAAATTCACGACACACTTGGAAGTTTCTGGGAAGGTATCGATTGCGGGCGCAGCCGCTACCTTTGCCGTTACCGGCACGGCGCGGCCAAACTTTTACCGTTTTCGCGTGCCTCAGACACATCGACCGGCAACTTCCAAAGCGGTCGTTAAAGCAGCGGTAACCCTCGAACGATTCTCATAGACGCTGTCCAGAAATCATGCAATCTACTGGAATTTGCATTATTCTTTGAATCATCGCGAATCCATTTGGAGGTGTATTATAGCTGTTAAGGTGAGAATAATATCCCTCCGTTCTTATTTTCGCGAAACGCGCGCGATAGAATACCATTGCAGGCAGAAAATTTATGTGATCGATATTTACTGTTATTTTAACATGCAACATTGTCATTATTACGTTTTCCATCTGTTAGGTATTGTTTGATTACTTCGGGAGTCAATTCCAAGGGAGACGAGGTCGAGGGTAAAAAGGCAACCTCGAAGGCGTACTGGGAATTATCTTTCCTCCTTGTTCTCTCCTCGGAGACAAATGCAACGTTTAGATTCTGAATTTTTCATATCCTTTTTACCTTAATTCCTCATTTCCATGCATAAGATCATTTTATCCATCTCTGACGATGATACCCCGGTTTGTCAAGGATATCAACCTGCCAGGCTAAGCTCCAAAAAGAGTAGACGGAGCGAGCGAAAACGTCCGGATGGCGCGCCAAGCGTCTCGACGATAAATAGAGCGTAATTTCGTTTCCGTAGTGCTCCGTCGCTAATTCTACCTTCCACCCACGCTTTCCACTCTCGCCGTCTCGCGGAGGGTCGATGTTACGCAAGCGGAAGAATGTCGTGAGGTTACATCATACCCATCCCCGAGACCGTGCATTCAATATATCGATTCATCCCCCGGCGCGAGACGCGCGACGGGGACGCGAGGCGACGCGACACGACGCGACGCGACGCGAGGCGAGGCGACGTGTCCTTGTTATTTCGTGCAACGGTCAGACGGTCGCCAGACTGACGTAGATGAAAATAGTTACGTGGCAAAACGAATCGACAACCCTTCAAGCGCATTATCGATGTACGTTCCAGAAAATGTATTCAAGGCCAGCATCAGGATATTCGATTCTTTCCGTCTGTATTATTGTTTTATTTATTTATTTTTTGTTTGTTATCCTGCATCTCAATATTTTATGTATTACGCGTATACTCGACGTGCGCGCGTCGTGCAACGCGAGAAACGCAAATGTACGAGCAGCATATAGATCGTCGTCTCCGTCCTCGGGATAGAACATGGGCGATATATCAACGAGCGTAATGGTACACGCGTCGTAATGTCGTAGATAAATGGATACGCGTGTTTATGCACCGGGGGTGCATCGTTTCGCGTCGTTTCTCCAAAGAGCACACTCGATGGGCAAAAGTCTGGATATACATATACTCGATAAGAATTGGTTGTTCCGTGGAAACGCAATCTCCACTTATTTATGAGAAAGACATAAAGACACGGAAACGTATAGGACATAAATCGATATCGTTTCCCGTTTCTCTCGGAGAATGGAGCATTTACGGGTGCTTTAAAGGTATCGGCAGGCACGGGTGTTTTAAAGGTAAGGACCTTAACCGTCGATGAACGCAATAACGTGGCGCGATATAAATCTGCGATGAAGGCGTTACAAAGACTCGGGACGTATGATTAAAAAAAAAAAAATATATATATATATATAAGACATAAATAAATATATGAGACATAAAAATATAGAAAGCGCGCACTTGTGTATATTTACGGAGCTCTTAACAGCGCGCGAACAGACAGTTTAGAATGAGAAAAGTTGCCATACCACCGCGAGTGATTCTATTTACGCCCTACGCTAGTTTCGAGTCAGCGCAACTGGGTCACCAAGGGACCTCTTGAAAAGCGTTTGATTTCCCATAGCACCGTCCTAACGCCCCTATTGTCATCACAGCAAAAACTATGCGCGTGCGATTATTATTTATGAAGTAATCTGCAAGACTTAAAATTGTCGCGCGTCGATGTGCATCGCGGAATAACGATTGCCGTCTAAAAGCACTCGATCGCGATACAGAGCGAGTTGGAATATATCGTTAAGATAGGAGAGAGAGTACACATTGTCGAACGTACTTCTAACAAGTAATGGTCTACATTGTTTCAGAAACTCCCACAATGTGAACAAACGAACGCAAATGCCCAACAAGGCACGGCCTCGTCCAGAGTGGTCTCCTCAATCCCCCATAGATGTCTTGTGAGTATCAAAGAAATTCCGATCGCCATTAAAAAACTGTACGGGAAATATATTTCGATATATATTCCCCCCCCCCCCTCCTCCCTCCTCCCTCCGTTTGTGCTCGATTCGATTACATCGAAACCAGGAGTCCGCGGCGTAGAGAGAACCGTATGTAATTAGTTAATTAAAGTTTCCGCGCTTGTCCTCCTGACGAGAAAATTGCTGCTTTCCGCGGCTAAATCCATTGAACTAGCTCGCGAGAGATAACGCTCAATTTTAACGGAACGGAAGATCATCGTTGGATTGCAATTCTTCTTTTATCTTCAACGCGCTTAGTTCTCTTTGTAACGGGTTATCAAATTTCATGCTCCGACTCAAAGTAAAATCGCCCCCCTCCCCCGAAGTGCTCGTCTGGAAAGTTACTCGTACGTTAGGTTGCGTTATATAAATTCGCCCGGCCGTATATGATTATATTCGTTGATTCGCCCACCACGGTGGTAATAAGTAAATAGCGCGGTCGTTTCGATACGTCGGCCGAGTGTGCCGAGCGTCGCTAGGAGCGCAACGACGCGGAAGGCAACTCTGGAAATTGCAATTTGTCCGAATAACACGGGACGCGTATTTCCCACGGAAACACCTCGGCCTGCCGCGCCGCGCCGCGCCACGGCGTGCACCACGCCACGCCGCGCCCGGCGCTGCGCCGCGCCACGCAACGGCACAAAGCAAATTTTAGCCAGGAAAACTTGCGCGTCAAATGGCTACCCCCGTTGTGCAATAGGGAGTCTCGACTATTACAACGCGAATGTTGTGCCGGCCGTATATTTACCCCCCGGAACAGGGGGCAGAGAGAGCGGTGGAGGACCTCGTTAAAAATATAATATTAAAGAGCGTCTGGATATACGCGATGCGCGCGCGGAGGTCGTTCGTAACATCAAGTATCTAGTTACGGATAAAGAAGAAAGTCCGGGCAAACACCCGTAAATACCCGCAATCTCTTTCGAACGTGCGCGGGTTTTTCAAGATTTTCGAACCGGGGAGAGGGGGTAGGTGCGGGGAGCAAGATGTAAAACGGAGGAAAAAGATGAAGGGGAGAACGGCTTCGTTAGCGATAGATTCGCTAATTGCGAACTTGAGTTGCAATTAAGGCTGAAACGAGACTGTGACGAGGGGAACGCGCGGGTATATACACGCGTACTTGATTATTCCGACAAATCAACGCGAAACCGATGATGTAACGTGGCCGAGGCGGTATCGGCGGTAAACGTTAGAGAAGCCATTACACATCGGAATACAAAATGCTGCCCGCATCAAATTTAGATTGCGCTCTGTCTCAGGGGTACCGACCTTTCTGCATCATTTATAGCGGATCGATCTTTCGCTTTTCCGTCTCCCCTCCCTCCCCCCCCTCCTCCTCTTCCTCCTCCTCGCTTCATCCTCGTCCGTTCTCCCGTGTCTCGTCGCAGAAGTTCATTAGCCATTCGGAGTCTAAGGGGCTCTCGACTACAAGTTTCGTCACTTGTGAATTTTGATTCACTCTCGGCTACGCTCGCCGCGTCGACGACTTTCGCCGTGGGATCTTTATTCACGCGAGAACATGTAATTTACATGCCTGTTGCGCTAATGCTGTAAATATCTCACCCCGAGCGGCGCTAACAAATGTAATCCGAGGCAAGTTGAGGAGACGCGGGAACGTTATCAATTTTTGTTATCTTATCCGGGAGCTAGGAGGATAAGCGCGGCGGGAAACGGCGATGCGGTACGGTATAATTATCGATAAATACATATGTAGATCGGAAAAGATACGTAAATATGTAACGTACAGTGTGTCTTGCACGATACGGTTTAAGCTTAATCGGCCATTATTTTTCGCTTACGCGCGGGACGGCATGCGGGCCGATGATTTATCGTTCGCGGGGGAGAGCCCCCACGAAATCCTAACGTACGACTCGCGCGGAACGCCTCGTAAATCCACCGATCGATGCTTTTGAGCCCGCATTCAATGGCGAACGAAATTAGCGAGCGCGGCATTGACAACCGCTTTGTTCGTATGTCACGCGAGCGTACCCCGCGATAAATTTGCACCGCGTGCAACCGTGGCGTTTCGTGTAAATGCCAATCAGCTGCATAATTATCGGGCCACGAGCCACTGCGGCGACCCGAAATTGTTTCGACTCCCTTACTTGTAATCTAGCGTGGAAAATAAGCCGCAGCCGTCGCGTTAAATAGATCTATTCCAACAAATCCAGTCTTAATACACTCTCCCTGATTTCGTTCCCCGATAAATCGGGAATCTTGGACTGAAGTCGTGTAATGGCCCGTAAATTGAACGCCCGTACAGGCGTACCGCGCCGTATCCGCGTGCACTGTAATAATCGACGATCACGGTGAGACTTAATCATTCCTACCGCGCCTCTCGGCGAAGAAAGAATAGATTAGAGACGTCGTCTGTAACTAACGGCGCTGTTGCGTGCTAAGAGGAGGGAAAAACGCGAGGGAAAGAAACGCGATTGCCCTTTGGGAACCGCGAGTGGATAATGTGGATATGCCTTTCAGTACGGGGTTTTCTCTGCTCGAGAGAGAGAGAGAGAGAGAGAATCGAGTCGGTAGGTACTTTAAATATCAGACGAGACAGGCGTTTCTCGATGTCTGCCGCAGGTGGATGCCCCGCTCCGCCATGAGGCCGGCCGAGGGTGACGCGTCGGATTGCATTTTGGTGGTCGGCGTATCCAGATCGAAGATGGCCGTCGCTTTTCTATCAGTCGCCCTGCTGTCTCTCTTTCTCACCTTCCACATACTCTACGACAGCGCCGTTTACAGCCTCCACGCGGTTTCCGCCGTCGAAGGGCGCACGGTCGAGCTGGTCTCTCAGGTACGTGGTACTCTCTCCCGCGTGTCTCTCGTAACAAAAATGCATGCCTCCGGAGACACAGGTACGGCTGCCATGTATGATGGATTTGCGGCAGGTACGCGCGACGCCGCCTCTCCTCTTCGCCAACTCCAAGGTACACTTCCCGCGCACGAATCGCCATCTTCCCCAGGCCATCATAATCGGCGTACGCAAGTGCGGCACGAGGGCGTTGCTGGAGATGCTGTTCTTGCACCCGCAGATACAGAAGGCGGCCGGCGAGGTCCATTTCTTCGACCGTGACGACAACTATGGGAAGGGTCTGGAATGGTACCGCCGTAAAATGCCCTACTCCTTCAAGGGTCAGATCACCATCGAGAAGAGCCCCAGTTACTTCGTGACGCCCGAGGTGCCCGAGAGGATCCGCGCGATGAACGGCAGTGTCAAGCTGCTGCTGATCGTGCGGGAACCGGTCACCCGCGCGATATCGGATTACACGCAATTGCGCACGCACGCCGCGACCGCGTCCACGCTGACCAACGGCACGCCGCAGCAGCAGCAACAGCAGCAGCAGCAGCAGCAGCAAGTGGCGCGTACATTCGAGGAGCTCGTTATGCGACCCGACGGTACCATCAACGAATCCTATAGACCGGTCGCCATCTCCCTCTATCACACCTATATGCACCGTTGGCTGGAAGTGTTCCCCAGGGAGCAGATTCTCATAGTAAACGGCGATCAATTGATCGAGGATCCGGTGCCGCAGCTGCGCCGAATCGAGAACTTCCTCGGGCTGGAGCCGCGCATCGGTCGGCACAACTTCTACTTCAACCACACCAAGGGCTTCTACTGCCTGAGAAACGAGACTTCGGAGAAGTGTCTGAAGGAGAGCAAGGGGAGACGTCATCCGCGCGTCAGTCCGTTGGTCGTGACGAAGCTGAGGAAGTTCTTCAACGAGCACAATCAACGCTTCTACGAACTCGTCGGCGAGGATCTCGGCTGGCCGGAGGAATAACCATCGTGGAAAGTCCCGACTCGTTCGTTACGCGACGCGAGTCGCGCGTGCATCCAGCGGCGGGCATGATCAGAAATCAAATACCTCCTTGTCGTCCTCCGCCGGGGAAGAAATATCGCAGCACCGAGAGCATGCAATTAACCCGCGGGTCGAAGAAACTGGCGTCGTCGACGGAGACTCTTCGAGATTACGCTCCTCTCGACCAGGCGATATTCTTCGGGGAGCACCGACAAGGATAAGTAATTTATTATTGATTATCAATTCCTTTGTTCTCGGTAAAGAGGTATAATACGCTGATGTTTCACGATGAAAGTACCGGCGTCGTTGTTAATGGATGCATGCGAGATCAGCGTCTTGTTATTACATTATCAAACATGCAAGCGTATAAACAAAACACACACACACACACACACGCATACATACACACAAAAGTTACAATAACGCCGGCCAAAATAAAATAGAGACGCGGATCTGCGAGACGAGCGCGATCGCCTCGTGGATTCACGCGGCATGCGGATCACATTGGTCCGTGACTTTACATATCAATTTTACATATCGATAGTTTACATATCAATAGGTTAACTAGTTCGTACGACAAAGATTGAATATTTTTATAATCCACATTGGAAGTTGTTATATCGCTTATGTCGTTAAGGATATTACGTAACGCGAAGGACTCTCTCGCGCGCGATCATGAAGATCGAGAGGGTTTTATTTACTGCGCCCCGCGCATGCACGATCCACGTATAGGCACGGGTGGAGTACGTATATATAATTAGGCCAGTTCCGCTTTTTTTGTTTCGGGGAGAAACAACCGTGAGAGAGAAAGCCAAAACAAAATATTTTCCTTTCTCCCCCCCCCCCCTCCCTCCCCCCGTCTGTCTGAGTTTATCTCTTGTCTCTCTTTCTCTCGTTTTCTCTCCCGCTGCAGAAAAGCGCGAACATGTTCTCCTCCATCGTTCTCTGACACTGGATATTGGCGCAAGCGTTCCTCTGGGAACACGAAGAGAAGTAGGGTGGAATCCGACCAACCGCGAATAAACTCGTCAGCGGTAGTATAGACGGAACGGCTCGCCGAGGCTTTATCGTAGAAATCTTTATAATCGATTATTCTCCAAATCTCCCGGCGGAGAGCTCGAAACGCATGTAACGTTCTTTATATATAATGAATCTCTATACCGAAAGGGACCGAGTGTATTGCGTGGTGAATAGTGGAAAGCAATGGCGACAACAGAGGCTCTATTAAAAATTTATTACGACAGTACGGAGCGCGCATTCCCTTTGTCGCTGAAAGAGTTCTTAATTATTACGCGGATGATTAATAATTTGACCTGACGTAGACGAGGATGATGGACGTTGCCAGACGCGAGTAACCGGTGGCCCTTTACATTCTGCTCGCGGATTTTCGAGGGGCACATTAAACTTTACTTTAATGAATCATCAGGGCGGTTATTACCAGAACAATTTTACAGAAATATGTATGTTACTGTTCAAAACCCATTAAAATCATTAAAACCCGATTTCACTAGCTAAAACTATATAGTCTTTAAATTTAAATTTGAAACGAGGTTTATAATTGTATACTATTTTACATGGATTTTCGACTTTCCACGCGTAACGAGGTCCAACTGCCCCTCCTCTCTGTTTACGAGGCGAAACGAGGTCTATAATTGTACTGTCCACCGGTTTTCGGTTTGTCTAATCAACCATTCTAGTTTTAACCAGTGAATTCGATAACGGATTATGGGTTTTGATGGTAACATATATATATTTTTTTCTCTTGGATCTCTTTTTGAATAAGGATAATACGAGTAGCTTCTGACGAGAAACGCTAACGATTAGAGACGATTAAAGGTACAGATAATATCTGTTATTGGGAACGTGGTGAAAACAAGGGAGATGAGAAAGAAGCGAGTCGTACGACAGCTTGCCGCTTAGCGACAAGAGGCGCTTTTCTCTCGGAAGGATACGACGCCATAAATAATCCGCTTTGCGGCGCAAGTGAGTCGTGCATGCGCGGCAAAATGTACCGTGCGTTAATTCGTGCGATAAATACACACTGCACCGGTCGCCTAGGCTCCGTTTCAGCGGCCGGGGAATCGCTCGGGAAAATCGGAGTAACGGCGTTCCGAGGCCAAGTGCGTCAATTTCTTTTGCTTCGCAAAGTTGTTTCCAACGAACGAGATACACCTATTATCCGATATCTTCGCAATTGGAACGTAACAGTGTCATTGACTCGGAGGCTTAAAGCAGAAGAAGGGAAAGGCAGTTTGCGCTGCTGATTAAATCCTCTCCAAGGGAAAGGGAGAGGAAAAACGTTTATCCCTGGTACTGGAGCAGAAAAAAGCTTATTTCTGTTAGTCTGCTTTTAGCTGTGATTATTTAACGCGAATCGCCCGCTTTTAACGGGCACCGACTCCGTTAATTACCACCGCCGCTGCAATTCGCTTGCTGTCACGGCGGCAACCTAATGCGCGCGGCTCGATCATCGGTTATGTGAAAGCCCCAAACTCGACGGTAGGTAGGTCTCGACAATTTCGGGTCTCGAGCAATTCGGTTCTCAAAGAGAACCGCGGCATCGGTGCGTCTCGTCGTCGCTCGCCCCTTTCCGCGTATACGCGCTTTGATCAAAATCTTTGCTCGGGGACTCGGTTGCATTTGTGTAAGTTGTAATTTCCGCAAAAACAGCCTTTGATTCTCGTCGGATTACCCCGCCGGATATAGATTATATATATATATATATAAAGCGCTCCGGATGCGAATCTTTTCGCATCTAATACACAATAATACACCCCAGGTATTCTCTCCCTCTTCGCTTTCGCGAATACACTGTCGGATCGATACAAGTCGAAACAAGCGAGCAATTGTTATCGCAGACAAATTTTCAATTAAGCAGGTTAATTAATACGCGGCGCGCGACCGAGGACGTATTGGAAAGCGTCACGCCACCTCTCCCCTTCCCCCGTAATCTCGAGCGGGCGAATATTTAATTCCACCTTGACTGATGATCATGCGGGTTTATTCAGTGCACGCGTTACACGCGACCGCCTTTCTCGGCTTCGCTTGGAACGCGCGCGGAGAAAAACGCACGTATCGCCCGCTCGATATTCTACCCCCGTGACGAGCGTAGGGATCGCGTTACGACTTCCGACCCTCGCGCCCAATTAGGGAACTTGTAGACCTTCCTCCAAGAAAAGTCACGGGACGGCTCGATAAGCTAAGAAGCGTGGCAGGTCACGTTAACCATCTCGCACGCTCGGCTACGCTCATTTAAACAGTCGAGGGAATATTTTCCAGCGAGTTTCGCATTCTCTTAACGAGCGATAGTTTTCTTGGGAATTGCAGCGGCATTCAATTGCCGGCCGCGAGTCCAGTCCGGTATTTTTTTCACTTTTTCATCCCGAAAAGAGCGAACCGCGTCCGATGAAAGAGATTTTCTCGAGCGAGAATTGGCACGCGGCTGGATGGTAGTTACGTTTTCGATTATAATAATGTCCGGCCGCGCACGATGGAATCGTGCCGAGAGCGAAAGCTCTCTCTCTCTCTCTCTCTCTCTTTGTGACGAATATTAAATTAACCGCGACTTTAATAAATCTCCCGCCAAATCATCTGTCCGTTTGGCCGTCGTTGAAATTACGGCGCGAAAAAATATCGTCTCCAGAGCGGAGCAAGATAAATATTGTTCCTTTCCATCTCTCTCGTTACTGTGAGTAGAAGTTTCATTCCCCGGCGCGCATCGCGCGCGCGATCACGATATCCTTCCCTCGGCCTCTCCGCGCGGCCCCGTCCCGGCCATTCACCCTGACTTTAACGGCGTTAACAACTCCCCCTCCCCTCCCTCCCTTCCTCCTCCAGCCCCTTCCTCTCTCGGGGTGAGGTGTTCTCTTTCACCCCCCTTTTTTTTCCATTCGTCGATGTCCGGTCAATCTACGGGGATTTCACGCGACTCTTCCATTTGCGCGGGGGCGTCGCGAAAACAAATATTTTCAACGGCGAAGTTAGCGCGGGAGCCTCTGCAAATATGTCATTTCGTCCGCACCTTCCGGATGAAATATGAAACGCGCGCAGAGGAACGGGCGCCCTGCGATGTACAGATGTCGAACGTGTAATGCACCCCCTTGTTACACGTATACACCAGAGATATTCGCGTCGCGCGCGCGGCGCGGCGCGGCGCGGCGACCTATAAATGTAACACACATCGCGGGCGCTGGAAAGTATAGAAATTGAATTGGGGTCTTTCGGAAACAGCTGCCCGTGCGCCCGGATAACCTCTTTGCCTTGACTGATCGATATTGCTCGCCATTCACGTGGACGTCCGGCGAAATGTACGCAGATCCCGCGGATCCCTCTTGTCCCTTTCGTCTCCATTACGGATGCACCCTCTACGGAGGGTCGGGCGTTCCGAGATGAATATGTATATTTTCCGAGCGAGCGTGGCACGCGAAAGCACTGAAATTTATAAAGACCCGCGGCAAGTATCCCACGGACATTTTCCCAAACTATATTTTCCACGCTTCTCGCTCGTAATAACGATCCCGTGTTCAAGATATTTAGCCGTGAAAATGACGAACGATCATACCTCGCCAAATTCTTGCCGAGGCAAAAACTACCGTTGAAACTTTCTTTCGCTAAAATTTTCCCTCTTTCTCTCTCTTCCTCTCTTTTAATATTTTCTGTTTTCCCTTCCCCATTAATACCGATACTCGGACAATGAAATAGCCTGACAATGAATCGCCGGTCGCGAGAGAGGCGCTTCTTTTCGCGTGTGATGAATATGCATTTTATGCAAAATGCATCCGCGTTCGCCGACTTAAGTCGAGGAAGAAGAAGCGCCGGACTGTACGAGGCTTCGCCAGGAAGGAAGGGCTCGCCTAACGATCTCGAGAAGTCGCCGCGAATAAAGGAATTATACGGGAATTACGAGGGCGTGGATTCTGATCTAACTACGTGAATCCGAATATTCAATACGGGAGGAGTCACCGACCTCTCTCTCTCTCTCTCTCTCCCTCCGGTATTCCGGTAAAGTCGGGAAGAAAATAAGAAAACTGTATGACGCATCGCGGAAAATCACGTAAGGACAAGAACGACGGAGGGAGGAGGGGGAGAGAAAAAATGTCACCCCCGGGGGAAGAAATTTTATGGCGTATCGACTATACGGAGTCTCCGCGCGCGTTACTACCGGCATGATAAAATTCAGGATCGATTCGCCCTTAATCGCGATATTACTATGCGATACCTGACGTGAACGGCGAGTTACCCCCGGTCTCCGGGGATAATAATAACGCAGGTAATCAACCCTCGAGAAGTTTCGTGGAATGGCGGCTTAATAATGCACGCGAAATGCTCCCGGCATCCACATGTCGATCCAATGACGAAATTGAATCGCAGGCCGTTCGCGACCGTTTTGCTAAATCGCAACGATGGATTTCGGATCAATAGGATGAATCCGTTTTAGCCGCTTGAAACCCGCTTTTTCATCCCGGGTTTCCGCGGACTAAACGCGGAAGTATTAACGTAAACTGCTAAAGAGATTTCAAACACTCTTACATTACATCTTTTAATATATTACTTAATATTTTATTTCTCTGTGATAACGCGATATTGCAGTTGAATGAATATCGTTTGTAATAACAATATCTCCATGCATATTTTTTTTCTCTTGTGTTTCTATGGCACGACGGAAGTACAAATGGTGAAGCGCGATACGCGAAGCTACAGTGGAAAAAAAAGCGAAAAAGCGTGAAAATATCGCTGTTACTACATGCGAAAATCTAATTAATTGCCCGTGCAAACTTTTTCACGCTTTAGATTCCGGAACCTTTAAAATTTTTCGACCCGGCATCACTGGGCCTGAAAAACGGGAACACA